TCTAACATGTCTGCACTGGTGAGCAAGTTTCTGGTTCTCTTCTGATATCCATTATCATCTTTCCCTTCTTTTTGTCTTCTAAATGCCTCCCCCCTTTTTTAATGTACATATACAAAACTACATAGATACATATATTGTTTTAAATGTCCTTAAGGGTGTATTCTGCAAGTCAGTCTCTTGCTCACAGACACACAGTCCTACTCAGTCCATAGGCCTAGAGTCCACAGCTGCTCTCTCTCTCCATGCCATTGCCTCTGCCACCATCTCACTGTCACCAGTTTTCTAGGTTGGATCTCATGCTCTTCCTTCTTGATGGGCCTGGGATTGTCTGTTCCTGAAGTGAAAGATCAACTACTCCACCTTTTTAGTTACACATCTTCTACAATTATAATTGTGACTGTCACAATTAATACTGCTAATAATTACTCACAATTGAATAATAAAATCCTATCAGCATCATCCCCCATCCTCTTTCACAAGATCCATCTGGAAAAGAAGAAAACTATTCAGTGGGGATTCTTCCTTACCCCCTTGCTCTGAAACTAAGCACTCTCACGAAAGTGTGTAAGCCAGCCACTTTGTGCTTCTATAGCCACCCCCCCCCCTTTTTTTTCCCAGTGTCTAGATTTACAGTCCCTATCAACCCAGTGCACTGAGGAAACAAGCTTGTTCCTTGATATGAGAAATTAATCAGCTGTATCCCTAAGCAAAGGTCCAGCTCATCAAACTGTAGCAATTTACACTTGCTCACAGTATCAAGCATCTTTATCTTCAACTGATAAACTTCTGGTCAGCTAGTCATCCATGCTAGGTCACATGGGTGCTACTTGCCAGTTTAAGAGTTCATGCACACCTTGCTGCACGTCAGTCCAGCTGGCCGCTTTACTCTCAGCTCTAGCCCCCAGTGATTGAGTCAGTGTTCATGTCTTGGAGGTCCACACAGCTCCCTAAATTTCAGACCAGCAGGCCCTTCCTCTTCTCTCTCTCATCTCAAGGTAAATGGGTATCATTGGAACATGGCCAAACTCAGCCCATGTCTTCATTTCCCCCACTTTCACTCACAAGTAAAACCAGTGAGTATGCTAGACTATTCATAAATGTCCTTTGAGTTCCCTGAGGGGATGACTTTTCTAGCCATGATGCCTCGAAAACAAACAATTTGCTTGGTAATTTAGCAGCCAAACAGTCCACTTTTTTTATGCAGTTCTCTTACGGACCTTTTGCTTTCTTTGTTTATGATGTTCTTGATGTCATCCCACAACTCTCATAGTTCAGTTATTAGTGTCTAATGCACCAAATCTGTTCTTAAATGGTCTCTAAATTTAGGTGGGATATTTTCAAGGTCAAAGTGTGGCTCTTGTGGACTTGTTTTAATTTTCTTCAGCTTCAGTCTGGACTTGCATATGAAAAATTGATGGTTTGTTCCACAGTCTTCCACTGGCCTTGTTTTGGCTGATGGTATGGAGCTTTTTCACTGTCACTTCCCACAGATGTAGTCTATTATATTTCTGTGTATGCCATTTGGCCAAGTGCTTGTGCATAGTTGTTTTTATGTTGTTTAAAAAGGTATTTGCAGTGAACAAGTAATTTGTCTTGAAAAATTCTATCATGTAGTCTCCAGCATCGTTTCTATCACCAAGACCATATTTTCCAATGACTGATCCTTCCTCTTTGTTTTCAACCTTTGCATTTCAATCACCAGTAATTATCAATATATCTTGATTGTATGTCTAATCAGTTTCAGACTGAAGAAGTTGGTTGTTGTTGTTTAAGTGCCTTTGAGTCAGTTCTGATTCATAGAGACTCTGTGTAGTTTCTAGGCTTTAAATCTTTGTGAGAGCAGAAAGCCTCATCTTTCTCCCATAGAGCAGTTTATGACCTTGAACCCTGGACCTTGTGGTTTACAGTTCAGCACTTATGGAATGAAGAAGTTGGTAGAATTCTTCAGTTTCATCATCACTGACTTTAGTGGTTGATGCTTAAATTTGAATAATAGTGATATTAACTGGTCTTCCTTGTAGGCGTATGGATATTATTGTATCACAGGCAGCATTTTATTTCAAGATAGATTTTGAGATGTTCTTTTTGATGATGAATGTAATGCCATTCCTCTTCTATTTGTTGTTCCCGGCATAATAAACCATATGATTTTTAGATTCAGTATGGCCAATACCAGTCCATTTCAACTCACGAATGTCTAGGATATCGATGTTTATGCATTCCATTTCATTTTTGACAACTTCCAGTTTTCCTAGATTCATACTTCATACATTCCATGTTCTGATTCTTAATGGATGTTCACAGCTGTTTCTTCTCATTTTGAGTTGGGCCCCATCAATAAATGTAAGTCCTAAAAGCTTTATTCTATCAGTCATTTATGGTTACTTATGGAGTCCTAGTATGGCGCTGTGGATTAATGCGCCAGACTGCAAAACTGTTTGAACTGCAAGGTCAGCGGTTCAAGCTCACCAGTTGCTCCTCAGAAACCTTGTATAGAGTCGCTATGGGTCGGAACCGACTCGACGGCACTTAACAACAACAATGGAGTCCTGGTGTGGTGCTGTGGGTTAATGCGTCAGACTGTGCTATTTGAACTGCAAGATTGGCTGTTCAAGCTCACCACTCACTCCTTGGAAACCCTATACAGGGTTGCTGTGGTTTGGAACCAACTTGACAGCACTTAAAAACAACACTGGATTAAAACAACTGAATCAAAATATAGGAATTATTTGTGTACTAAAATAAATGTAAATCTCTCATCCATAATCCTCAGATTAAAATTTTATTTTATCTAATAACATTCTGCTCTATTACAAATGCCATTTTTAGTCCTATATATGTGAATTTTTTTAAAGGATTAATACACTAATTTCTATAACCTATATGTATGTGTATATATATATATATTTAAATTTGTATCATCAGTGAGCCCATGTGTGTCAGTGTAGGACTTTGCTCTATAAAGTTTTCAATGACTAATTTTTTGGAAGTATGTCTCTAGGCCTTATATCCAAGGAATCTCTGAGTGAATGTGACTCTCTTCTGGTTAGTAACCTAATGCTTTGACAGTTTACACCACTACAGGGCCTCCATAACCCTACAGACACTGAATAAGTGTCAAGTGCTTTAAATCCATTCTCTCATTTAGTCTTCACCACAGTTCCTCATCTAAAATTTTATACTATTGTTTCCCAGTTTTTAAATGAGGAATGTAGAGTTCAGAAAAATCAAGCAACTTGGGCTGGAATATGAATCCAGGTTCATCTGATGTGTTCCCTATTTGCCAAGGTAGTTGGCCTTATTAATTACATCTATATAATAGTTACTACTCACGTCACCTAGTAGTGATGGATGTTTGCATTTGCTTCTAGTTTACTTTTATTTCCTACATGCTCTCAAATGAAACATGTGGTATGGTAGAGAGCATTCCTCTGGAGACCCTTCAAATTCTCTCCCAATCTTTTGTGCTCATCTAGTAGAGATTTTCTAAAGCCAAAATCTTCTGAGTTCAGTTAATTAGTACCTATTTCTGGTATTGTCTAAAGACAGAAGTTGAAAAAACTATCCTGCTTTCAGACAATAGTTTCCTTTTAAAGGGAAAATGTCTTCCCTGGTGTATGGGAGAGGGGTGTGACAGCGAGGAAAGAATACACCAGGTAAGTATATGATTGGTGGAAAAGTGTTCTTCACCAGAAAATGGGTGACCCAGGTCCCCTTCTTGAAGTGGCCCACATTCCTCTTTCTCCCATAAAGACCCTACCTATGCCCAGGGGCACACACAGTTGAGAGTGTAGGATCTAGGGCTAGATAGAATACCTTCATTTACATCACACCCTAGCTATATGACCCTTCACTATGTGACCCATCATCTACGTCTCAGTCAGCTTTCCATCTTTCATTCCATTTATAATAGCTTTCTTTCAGTTCCCTGAATGTGTATTGTTATATGCCTTCCCATCTCTTCCCCTTTGCATATGATTCAGCACCTCCCCCAGATACCTCAAGTGCAACCATTCTGTATTGTGAGTTCAGTTCTATTAATCACCAGCCTAAGAACATAGTAGATCCATGAAAAAGGAAAGATTCAGATAGAAAACCTATAGGTATTAAGTGTCTATTGTGTTTCCAAAGAGGGATAATGTTAAGTCTTAACATATTTTTGGATTACATAAATGGCCTCCTCTTTTGTTCTTTCTCTGTAAAGCATCCATGTCCTTAATTAGAGCACTTCTTGAAAAGATCAAAAACTCAAACCAAACCCAGTGTGGCTGGGTTGATTCCAGCTTATAGTGACTGCATAGGGCAGAGTAGAACTGTCCCACAGGGAAGGGTTCCAAGGCTGTAATCTTTACCAAAGTAGACTGCCACATCTTCTTACCACAAAGTGACTGCCTTTAGGTTAGCAGTCATGTGCTTAACCACTGTGCCGCCAAAGCTTCTTCCAAAAAGTCAGGGAACCCTATTTTCCTTAAGTTTTTATTGTGAATTATGTGACAGTTTACATGGGAGAACATTATCTTTATATTCATCTTAACGTATTTCATTTCATTGCAATTATTACAATCCCCTGCATGCATCGTCAAACAACCAAAAAGTACACCCTGCACACCGTCCCCCTGGCCATCAGGACACAGCCCCTCTCCCTCCCTGAGTACAGAGTCCCCAGCCACTCCATCTCAGAGATTCTTTTGGTGTAACATTTAATTATTATATTTCTATCTTGTTGCTAAGCTTGCTTTATGCTTACAGTACCAATTGACTATTTCCTCCACAGCCAGAGGTTCCCTGGAATAGATTCATTTCTGGTTTTCAGTTACCTGAATATCCAGGAGCACAGCAACTATTATACAACATGGCGTCTCTTGGAACTTTCTTTTATTAAACCAACATTCATAACAGAGTATGGTGAAAGATGTGAGATGTGTTGAGTATTGTGAAGTTTTTATAAGAATTTAAAGATAAATGGAATACTTGTTTTTGTTTGTTGTTCTTTCCTACAGATATGGGAACTAGAGACTGGCATCCAAATATACCAGATTTTAGACCCTCATGGCTTCAGTATTGAACTGACTGCTGCATCTATTGATGAAAATGGACTTCTCTTTGCCACCGGAGCATATAATGGTTAGAGTAACACCCAAAGTGTGATTTACTTGCATTACCACCCCAAGAATTTGTACGTGCTGTTATTAAGTGCTGTTTAGTGGGTTCCGGCTCATAGTGACCTAGTGTAAGGATTCCGAGGGGTACTGTGAGTTTAAACCACCGACCTTGTGTGCCAGACCAGGACTAGAATTTGTGCTAGGAATTCATTCGTTTTTTAAGATCAGAGGGAGAACATGAATCGGTCTAGAATATGCCAGTGACATTGGTGTGCCTAACTTTCAGTGATACACACTCTTAACTAATGGGTAATAATGTCCTTACATTGATTTTCCAAAATACTCATCATCTGATATAACAATTATAGTTGACTGATGGTTTTAAAAAATCTTTTACACATATGCATACTCTCTTATTTCATCTTTGCTGGGGCTTACTTGTGTTGCACTAACTACCATTAGCTAAGGGATAACCGTCTCATTCAGTGTCTGCTGACAGTATTTTAACTGATAGTACACAGTTTGGGACTAGCAAACTTTGTTATATAAAACCTAGAATTCTACATTGGACTTGGTTTTTATTTCATTCTGCTGTGCGTAAGGTCTCTATGAGTCGGTACTGACTCGATGGCACCTAACAACAGCAACAAGCTCCTTAAAGGTATGTACCATGTATTATACGATGCTTCCTTAACTAGTGTGCTGCATAGAATTTCCAGCAACAAACTGTCTCTCAGTTTATTTCATTTTGCTATGAACTTCCACAATATGACCAACTGAATGCACTGCTCAGAATATGTTGAGCATATAACAAATGCTTATTCAGAGGTCGATTGAGTTAAATCCTGATGTTAAAGTTTTATTTTTACAAGTGTGAGCAGATAACACAGCATAAAATACTACTATGAATGCTGAGACAATGGGCATAAATACATGTATCTGCTTTTTTTGTGGAACATTTCTTGAGAAAACATTCTTACTTGACTCTATACGCACACACTGTGCTATTGTCTGGTGCCTTCAAGTCAACTACACACAGCAGAACAAAACATTGCCTGGTCCTGTGCCGTGTTCACAATACTAATACACTTGAGCCCATTGCTCCTGCCACTCAGTCAATCCATCTCATTGGGTGTCTTCTTTTTAGCTGGTTCTCCACTTTGCCAAGCATTATATACTTTCAACTGATGACATATCCAAAGTATGAGAGATGAAGTTTCACCACGTTGGCTTCTAAGGAGCACTTGGAACTGTACTTTCATCAACACAGATTCGTTTTTTCTTCTGGAAGTCCATGATATTTTCAATATTCTTGTCTAACACCATAACTCTAACACATAAAATACAGTCTTCCTTATTCATTATCCAACTTTTACATGCATGTAAGGCTGTTGAAAATACCATGACTTGTGCCAGTCCTCAAAGTGACATTTTTACACTTCAACAGTTTAAAGAGGTCTTGTGCGGCAGATTTGCCTAATGCAATACATCATTTGATTTCTTGACTGCTGCTTCCATGAATGTTGATAAAGAACTCAAGCAAAATGAAGTCTTTGACAACTTCAACTCTGCTTTTTTTCTTACTATAATCCAGCTTCTCAGATCATTTGCTTAGCATATAGATTGAATAAGTGTGGTGAAAGAATACAACCCTGTAGCATACCTTTTCTAAATTCAAACCATTCATTGTCCCCCTGTTCAAACGACTGCCTCTTGGTCTATGTACAGGTTTCTCATGAGCACAATTCAATGTTCTGGAAAACCCATTCTTCAAAATATTGTCCATAGCTTGTCATAATCCACATAGTCAAAGATATTTACATAGCCAGTAAAGCACAGGTAAACATCTTTCTGGGATTCTCTGCTTTCAGCCAAGCAATTACATCCCTAGTTCCATGTCCTCCTTTTAATCTGGCTTGAACCTCTGGCAGTTCCCTGTAATGTACTGTTGCAGCCAGTTTTGAATTATCTTAAGCAAAATTTTACTTGCATGTGATAATAATGATATTGTGTGATGATTTCCACATTTCGTTCGGTCACTTGTCTTTGGAATGAGCACAAATATGAATCTCTTTCAATCAGTTGGCCAGGTAGCTGTCTTCCAAATTTCTTGGCATAGATGAGTGAGTGCCTCCTGTGCTGGATCAGTAAGTTGAAAGATTTAAATTTGTATTCCATTAATTCCTGGAGCCTTGTTCTTTGCCAGTGCCTTCAGTGCCTCCTTGGACTTCTTCCTTCAGTACAATTGAATATTGATTGTATGCTACCTCTTGAAATGGTTGAACACGGATCATTACTTTTTTGTGTAGTAACTGTGTATTCCTTCCATCTTCTTTTGATGCTTCCTACATCATTTAATATTTTGTCCATAGAATCCTTCAATATTTCAAGTTGAGGCTTGAATTTTTACTCAGTTCTTTCAGCTTGAGTAATGCTGAGCGTGTTCTTCCCTTTTGGTTTTCTAGCTTCAGGTCTTTGCACATTTCATTATAATACTTTTCTGTGCCCTCTCAAGCTGCCCTATGAATTTTTCTCTTCAGCCCTTTTACCCCATCAAGTCTTCCATTTACCATAGCATCTGTGCACTGGGCAACAAGTTTCAGAGTCTCTTTTGACATCCATTTTTGTCTTTTCCTTCTTTCTTGTCTTTTTAATGACCTTTTGCTTTCTTCCTGTATCATGTTCTTGATGTGATCCATAACTCTTTCTCTCTAGGTTTAGGTCTTTAGTGTCTAATGCATCAAATGTGTTCTTGAAATGTTCTCTAAATTCAGGTGGGATATGTTCAGTGTCAAATTTTGGCTCTTGTAGGCTTGTTTTCTTTTCTCCAGCTTTAGCCTGAACTTGCATAGGAGCAATTGATGGTCTGTTCCACAGTCTTCCCCTGGCCTTGTTTTTGCTGATGGTATAGAGGTTTTTCACTGTCTCCTTCCAAGTTGTTGTTAAGTGCTGTTGAGCCAGTTTTAATTCATAGCTACCCTTTATAGAGTTTCCAAATAGTGTCTGGTGAGTTTGAACCACTGACCTTGTAATTCAAAACAACCTTGTGGTCCAGTGTTTTATGTTACTTTGCCACACCAGTACCCCGAGTCTCCTCCCATAGATGTAGTCAGTTTGATTCTTGTGTATTCCATCTTGTGAGATCCATGTGTATGGTCATTTTTAAAAAAAAAAAAAAAAAAAACTTTTGATTGTGAATTGAGTCCAGGTTTATAGACAAGATCATCTGTTTTACAATCAACAAATAATGTACTTTGTTTTATCTCAATGATTGCAATTCCCTCCATGGAACAAGAGTCATCTACTTCCTCCCTATGGCTCCTCTTGCCCTTCCACCCAACTTTCCAATCCTTCTTGTCATTTTTCTGATGTACTCGTTACCCCTTTATTTTTGAATGATTGGCCATTCCATCATTCATAGTGAACATATCTTATTAGTGTTGTTGTTCCCCTCTATACCTAGCTGCTGCTTGGCTGACACTGTTCCCCCTATATACCTATCTACTGCTTGGCTGAAAGAGGGTGTGTTCCTTTCTGGATCTGAAATCGGGTTGAGGGCCACGATCTCAGGTTCCTCCAGTCTCTTTCTGACCAGTAACTCTGGAATTTTTTGAAATAATTTTTTGAGTTTTGTTCCACACATTATGCCACTTTATCCAGAACCTTCTAACATGATCCCACTCAGGGTAGTTGGTAGGGGTAGTTGGGCACAATCTAATTCTTCTGATCTCTGGGCTGTGAGACTGATGTTCACATAATCCAGTAGTCCATTGGACAAGTTAATTCCAAGCATCTTTCATTTCTCATCACTCTTCTTTCTTCTTCATATGGAAAGACCAGTGGCCACTCCTTAGATGGCAGCTTATGAGTTCTTAATATCCCAGATGCTACTCAGCAAAGTAGTTTATATGACATAATCTTTGTGGACTATGTTGTACCAATTGACAATGGTGTCCCCTGAAACTATGGTCCTGAAGCCCCAGGCTAAGCTACTCATTGTTAATATCTAGTTTTCATCATTTTGTCACTATATGTACCACTACATTCACAGTTGTGTTTGCAGGAAATGTAAATACTGATATACCGATTTTCTTTCTCACACTCTTATGTTCTTGTATATCTGTGGAACATATAAATGCATACATACATGTACATATACATACATGCACAGCATCTCACTGTAACAAACACTGTTGATTGTTGAACCTTTTTCTTGATAATGTTCCAGTAGTTGCCACTGAGAATCCCAGAAAACTATAAGCCTCAATTTTTTCAGCTGATTGTTGATTTTGAACTTTTTGTTGATCAACAATTGAGTATGTTTCCATTCCATACTCTGCCATTTACACTCAGGCAATCCAAAGGCACTGTATTCTTGAATGACAATGCCTGCTCCTATACCTCTGTCCACACTGTTGACACTCTGAAAAAACTTTCTTTTGAGTTGTTAAAGCATCCATCCTGTAGTCCTGATCTTGCTCTATCAGACTTTCACTTGTTTGCTCACCTGAAAGCAGTAAAAATGTACATATGTATATATTATATGTACAAATAATATGTTGTTGTTGTTGTTAGGTGCCATCGAGTTGGTACTGACCAATAGCGACCTTATGAACAGCAGAATTAAACACTGCCCGATCCTGGGCAAGCTCAATATTGTTGCCACACTTGAGCCCATCAATGCTGCTACTTGGCCAATCCATCTTGCTGGGAGTCTTCCTCTTTTTCTCTGACCCCCTCCCTACCTTACCAAACATGATATCCTTCTCCAGTGACTGCTCCCTCTTGACAGTATGTCCAAAGTATAAGAGATGAAGTTTGGCCATCCTAGCCTCCAAGGAGCACTCTGGCCGAACTTCTTTCAACACAGATCTGTTGGTTCTTTTGGCAGCCCATGGCACTTTTAGACTTTCAGTATTCTCCTCCAACACCATATCTCAAAAGCATCAATTTTTCTATGGTGGTCTTATTCACTGTCCGGCTTTTGCATACATGTGAGGTTATTGAAAATACCATGGCTTG